AGAAGTTCTCATTCGGCGCGAAATGGCCGTTCGGGCAGGGAATCCCCTGGGCCACTGGGAACTCCAAATTCCATCACTGACCGTAGAAATGTTATCAGGCGAGACCGCGGGAAATTCTCTCCATCTTGAACCTCCATGATGCGCCTCGAGAACTCTCGAATCGCGTCGCATCGTGTTCGACATTGCCGTCTTGAACGACACAATGCATTTCCGACGGTGCTCCTACTGTTAGAATAACTGAACGATTAGAAGGAAAAGGGAGCAAGGGAGATATAGGGTTTCATTTGTACTCTCTAAGAATACATACCTATTCTTGCCTAAAACTTCTATATGCAAATGTAGGTATAAGTTGACACAACCCCTCTAGATAAGGGGTAGTGCTGAGCAAGAAGCACACAGCCCAGGGTGGCACTACCAGTCCAACCTCAAAGACAAGGGTCCGAAGACCAGTCAGCAAGAGTACAAACAAGATAGGAGCAAACGAGGGCGGCACTACTAGTCCGGCCACTAGAAGAGAAGCCACAAGGCCAGCCTGAAATATACATATAAAGATGATTACACAATCAAGATCCTAGCAAGTGAGATTCTACAGGAACTAGACCAAGCTGCAAACAGTGTCGATGATGATCTTTAGGCGCAAGCGCCTTAGTAAAGATATCAACTGTATTGGCACCGGAGCCCAAGTGTACTACGCGTGCCTGGCGGCCCTGCTGTAGCTCGCGCAGGAGGAAGTACCGCAGCTGGATGTGCTTCGCTCCGCCCTCAAGTCGAGGCTCCTGACACAGGAGGATCATGGCCCTGTTGTCAGCGTACAAGACCGGGGCAGAACTAGGCCGCTCACCTAATACGGTGAGCAAGAACGTCAGCCAGTGGAGCTCCTGTGCCGCCATGGCACTGGCGTAGATCTCAGCCTGACAACTAGACTGGGCAACAGACGAGGAGCGAGTGGACCTCCACGAGATGGCACATGAACCAAGGCTAAAGCAGTAGCCCTGGGAAGACCTAAGGGTCTCAGCGTCGTCTGCCCAAGAAGCGTCTGTGTGCCCAGTAAGGACCACTGGCCTGCGTCCTCCCAGCACTAACCCCATGCCCGATATACTTGCTAGATAACGCAGAACCCTTTTAGCGATCGACAATTGATGTGGTCGGTGTCTGCCTGTGGCCACAAAGCGAGCAAGGATGCTGAGACGGTATGCGAGATCTGGACGAGTGCAAGTCATCAAGTACATGAGGCAACCCACCAGCTCTGCGTAAGGACCACTAGGCTCTAGTGCCTCCTCAGGAACTGGAGCTGAGAGCCTGTGATCTACTGGCAGAAGTGTGGGCTGTGCAGAGGAGAACTGAAGACCGAACCTCTGAAGGACCTGGCGCACCAAGTGTGACTGTGTGAGAGTGATGGTGCGCGCTCCTCTGTCCCTGGAGATCTTTAGGCCAAAGTAGCGGCGCAGCTCTCCTAGGTCAGTGCAGGTGTGTCTTCTCAGCAGCTCGGCCTTCACGGAGGCTAGCACGCCTCTGTCTGCAGTAGCGAAGACCAGGTCGTCTACGTAGACAAGGATGTAGAACGGAGTCTGGCCAGAACGAACGAAGAGCGAGGGGTCTGCAGAAGACGGAAAGAACTGCAGGTCAGCTAGCGTAGCATGCAGCGTGTCGTGCCACTCATGGGGCGCCTGTCGCAGGCCGTAGACTGGGCGCCGAAGAAGCCACTGGGTCACAGGAGGGAAGGTACCAGTAAAGCCCTGAGGACGGCGCACGTAGACCTGCTCGTGTAGGTTGCCCTGAAGAAATGCAGTGGAGAAGTCGAGGGAGTGTAACTCGTAGGCACGATGTGCTGCTACGTGTAGCAGCGCTCGAAGAGTAGTCATCTTCGGGGTCGGAGCAAAGGTTTGAAAGAAGTCCACCCCCTCTCGCTTACTCAAGCCTCTAGCCACGCAGCGCTCCTTGAACACAGGCGGCTCTCCAGGGGGGCGCTTCACCTTGAAGAGCCACCGGCCATCGACTACGTTCACCCCAACTGGGGGAATTGCGTCGACATACAGTGACGGAAAAAACTGTCCAGATGTTTGGCATTAATTAGGTTTTTTAGGCTTTTCGACCACGGTACATAAAGTCTTAATGTTTAATGGTGGTACGCTTTTGGAGGGGCACATAGTGGATGTGTTCACAGCACTTACGTCCATAGTAGTACACTGCATCTAACTTAGTGCCAAAAGTTATACAAGGGGGTCATCCGGACAGTTTTTTCCCGGAACAAAGCGTTAACTTCCGAACAAGTTTCTAGTACCTAGTACACCGACCCTTGGCCTTGATCACCACCCGCACCCTCCTAGGCATGTTATCTACGAGGTTAGTGCAAATCGTTGCAGAGATCTTCTCGCACTCTTCCTGGACCCTCCCTTTTGCATAAGGGGGTGAGCACTAGGAAAACCGCGAGGGATTTGAGTGTCTGCAAGTTTTTTGTGCACGATTTCTGTTTGAATGTTATGTATAAGACTAGCCACACTGAGGTATGACCAAAGATGCCATTAGCCGATTAGTTCCATCTTATCATGGGTCGTTTTCGTCGTACCGCTGTAGGGTAAAACCATGAACAGAGCGGCAAAAAATAGTGTATATGCCATGAAACTGAGGGTGACGTACCACGGTTGATTATTCATCCTTGCACTATCAGAATCACGCTAGGATCTGCATGTCTCATCACGGTGTAGCATTCGAAGAAGTTGCGACTGTTGTGGAAGAATATCCAAGTTGAGGTCAGGTGAAGAAAAGGGGCATTGAAGTTAAAAACCATATTATTTTCCTTCTCATTTGTAGATTCTGTCCGACCTATGCAGCGTGTCTCGGCATCGTGTCATCGGCGCGTCACGGCAAAGGCGGAGGCCAAGAACCTATAGAAGCAGACAAGCGCGGATCCGCCGTCATCGTCATCGGCAGCAACGGACGCCGCTGCCGCAACAGCACCCCAGCGCGCTGCGAAGAGCCGAGCGTTCCTCGCCTCACGCCGCCCGACCGTGGTGACGCCATTCGGGTCGCTCTCAGGTAGGTAGGAACGGTAGGAAGCCATAGAAAAGGTTTTAAGCTAGGAAAGCTGAGGAGAGAAAAGGGGGGAAGAATAGAAGAGAGAGGCATACAAGGAAGGGGGTTGTACCCTCTATAGTTGGTTGCAATAAGACCTACCAAGCCTACCAATTATATGACAAAATATATAATTTAACACACCCCCTGGGCTTGGTAGTAACAAGCCCACACACACCCACACCCCCTAACCTAGCCCGCCCTTTCCCAGCAGCAGCCGCGATGACTCCGGAATCAGTCAACACCCACGGCCCGGGAGATGGCAATGGCGGCAGTCGCGGCAGTGATGAGAGCGATGGCGGAGGCGGCGTGCGGCGGCAACAGGCCAGCGGAGGCGGCGTGCGGCGGCAACAGGCCAGCGGCGGCGGCGGCTTCAATGCCCAAGGCGAGTGCAGCGGCCCCTACCCTCTCGGCGGCATGGCCAATCTCGGCGAGGGGGGAGGAGGGGGGGGGGGACGAATCTTCAGCGAGGCACCATGGCTGGCGCGACGCTTACTGGCGTGAGGGCGTTACGACTGGTGCCTAGGACAGGGCGCTGGCCACTGCTGTCCGTGCTCTGGCGAAGCCGCCACGGCAGCACGACGGCACGGCGGCACGACGGCGCGGCGTCACGGCGACCCAGTGGCACGGCGGCTCGGCGGCGCGGCGGCACCGTGGCACGGCGGCATGGCGAGACGGCAACACGGCGGCACTGAGGCACGGCGACGTGACGGGGCCGGCGCGGAATGACGGGGCCGGAGCAAAGTGACGGGGCCGGCGCGGCGTGACGGGGCCGGCGCGGAGGGACGGGGCCATCGCGGCGTGACGGGGCCAGCGCGGAGTGACGGGGCCGGCGCGGAATGACGGGGCCGGAGCGGAGTGACGGGGCCGGCGCGGCGTGACGGGGCCGGCGCGGAGGGACGGGGCCAGCGCGGCGTGACGGGGCCAGCGCGGAGTGACGGGGCCAGCGCGGCATGACGGGGCCAGCGCGGCATGACGGGGGGGGGGAGTACACTGCGGAAGAGTGAGGAGAAGGCCCGGGCGAAAGGGGCCTGCTTTGAAACCATGTTAAACTAAGGTAGCTAGGAACGGTAGGAAGCCATAGAAATGGCGAGAGGTTTTAGGCTAGGAAAGTTGAGAGAAAAGGGGGGAAGAATAGAAGAGAGAGGCATACAAGGAGGGGGGTTCTACCCTCTACAGTTTGTTGCAATAACACCTACCAAGCCTACCAATTATATAACAAAATATATAATTTAACAGAGACCGCTCCGCAGCAAAACCAAATACCTTTGCTCAGCAAGCTCCAACGGAACCCAAACGCTGCATTGCAAGAAGCTTTCAACATTTTGTTTCCTTCAGCGGCGGCTTGATCGGAATGCATCTCGCTTATCCACGCGCGTGGCCATGTGCGCAGAGCTGCTGGACCCCTGGTTCCCCGGCACCCACTCGCTCACGCTCCTCGTGGACGCCATGGACCGCACTATGCTTCGCCACGCTTTGGCCGCCGACCCGCTTCGTGCTGCGGCGCGCGTCTCTCCTCTGGCACTCGCCGCTGCTCTGCCGGGGAGAGTGCCGTGGAGGGAGATGGAGACGGACGACGCCCTCCACATCCGCATCGACATGTATGGTTGGTCGATCGACCCACCGTGATGCCCGTTCAAAGGCGTTTTCTCTCGAGATTCTTGAATAAGAGTCGCACATGCCCTCACCATTGCACACCCTGTGTGGCCCATAGGTTTTTCCAAAGACGAGTTGTCAGTAACAGGGCTTATCTTTCACTTTTCTGAACTCTGATTTTCACCAGTAGCTCATGGGCTAACTCAGAAATCCAGGGTGCCCTGGACCGGAACTCTGTTTTGCCAGGGTTTTTGTGCCTTATCAGAAAAAAAACCCTGTCCGCCTAGAATTTGGAGGAGATATAGAATTTGCCCAGCAAAAAGTATTAAGTCTCACATCCACATGGCACGGTAACAGAGCAGCATCTCATCAATCATCAGCATCATCATCATCATCATCATCATCATCATCATCCTTATATGAACCCTCACTAGCTGCAATCTCCTCATCCGAATCCTCGGCTGCACTCTTGCCTTTGTCGAGGGGAGCCTCATAGGCCACAGTCTTAGCCTGCTTTCGCGTCTTCTGTTTCCTCCAGATGTCAACGATCTCGGCGTAGTCCATGTCGTAGTCCAGCATGTTGATCGTCATGAGTTCGCTCAGCCTTGCATCGCACAAGCTCGTCCGCAGCCACGACTTGATCATGTTCTGTCTGCTGAATCCTCTTTCACACTCCACTGTGCTCAGTGGAAGCACAGCCATGGCCTGCCAGAATGCCATCAGGTTGGGGTAGCTCTTAGGCCAGTCGCGGGTCTTGAGCATGGCAGCCAGCCCCTGGTTGAAGTCATCATCCGCCCGATGGTTCTTCATGATGTGAGCAAAGGACTTGAGCTCCAGCTTGGTCGCCCTTTGGTTCACTCCTAGAATTGGGGTTTGGAATAGAAGCAGAGGACAACGGTTTAGTATCCATCCTAGGGCAAGGCAAACTGACATTTAACAACGAATGATACGGTTGTGTTAACGGAACTACTGACTTACCTGGCAGCTTGTGGTAGAAGAGGGCGACGTTGGATGCGAGCCAGGAGAGATGTCGCCGCTCGCGCACTTCTGCCTTCTTCGGCCAGCACTCAACTTTGAACAGTCCCGCGCCGCCCATCCACTTCAGATCCCACAGCCTCTGCTCCACATTCGCCACCATGTCTTTGGCGAACGCAGAGCAAAGGTCCTCACAGTCCGACATGCTGCCACTTGTGGCCCGGTAGCTTCTTCTCCGAGAGTTCGAATGCGTGCGTGCAGGGACTTCCGTCGTTGTCCATGCCATCGACGACGATGCTGCGCTTGCCGTTGGCGTGCCGCTGCAGGAACTTGGTCAGCCTCTTGCTCATCCCCGCCCCGAATGTCGCACCGTACTCGATGTAACGGTGCCGGATGTAGGTGACCGTGCGGTCAACCTCCTGGGACACCAGGGTGATGTCCACCTGACGGAAGGGGCATATGGCAGGCGGAGGTACAAAATGCAAGGAATTGAACTCACGCACATGACTACCAAGTTAAACACATAGCAAGACCGTACAACAGTGCAACGAGATACGCCAAACAAAAGTACGTCTCGTTAAAGCCACCACTTACAGAGCGCCTCTGAAAGAACCTGTTGAGGGTGTTCATCTCGGCGAGGACGTCAGCGAGGAAGTACAGGTAGTAGTGAAATTTCAGCGTCTTCACAACCGGTGCCAGCTTGTGGTTGTACTCGATGAGGACAACGATCGCCGCTCCGAGAATGCTGCAGAGCCTCTTGATTGCATCGCCACGTGAGAGCCACCGGATAAGGTAGAGTCCTTGATTCTCCAGGTTGGTGTTGTGGATGACCATCTGCAGGTGCTTGAAGCGCTCATACCATGGGGTGGAACGGCCGACAATCTCCCCCAATGCGCGGATGACGGCATCGATGATCTTGAAGTCCAGGAAGGCCGCGGCAGCATCCTTGACAGCCAGGGACTCTCTGCCAACAACAAAAAAAACAGAGAATATCAGCAACAAGGGGCATGTAGGTATGCACGCATGAGCCATTAAAAGCACCCATGGGTGCAACAAACAAACAGCACCTATGGGCGATGCAATGGACGCCCACGAGGTGCAGGATGCGCACTCGTAAGCGAGCCACCAAGCCATGATGCTCGCCTGTCATCACAGAAGCCCCATCCGTACTAATGCCAGAGATCTTCTGGAGATCGATGCCGAGGGTCTCGAGGTGGGAGAGGATGATCGCCTGCAGAGAAGCCGCGTCGCACTTGTCCACGGTCAGCAAAGCTAGGAACTCGGTGACCACTTTCCGCTTCTTCAGAAATGTTGCAAACAGGATCAAGTGCTTCCCGCTCGTCCTGTCGGTGCTTTCGTCACAACTGAGGCTGATGAATGGAGATGCGTGAATATGCGACATCTGTTGCGCCTACAAGAAAGCCACCATGGCTTTCACCATCTCCTTGAAACCGTACCTGAATGGAAGTGAGAAAGGCATGCACAAAACACTGGTGTTAGTAGTTGTTTAAAGAGGATGATCACAAAATTCAAAGGTTATAGGAAAACCCGAAAGAGAAGCAGTACAAGGGGATTAATAAACTTACTGCGTTATGTAGACACCGTAGCTCTGCTTAGGAACGTCCTTCACCCCTTCATGCGCCATGAAGCCCACGAGGGGGGTGAACATGCTGATGGGCGCATCTTCCTTGTAGATGAATAACATGGCGCGGAGTAGCCGAATGATGCGCGCTCCCTCGGGGTCATTCGCAACAAAGTCTTCCATCCTCTTCTGGTTCTCCACTTCTGTCAGCAGGTGTTGTTGCTTCCTCACCGCGTCTTCATGCTCCTGACTCTCCTGGTGGTAGCGCATCGAGCCAACTTGCATATCCCGACCGCCACTGCCCTCATGCCCGTATCTTGCATGCACTGCACCATGCTCCATACAAACACAACAACGCAAGCACGGGATTCCGTCGTCATTTTTATCAAGGACCAGCCATGGGAATTTCGGGAGCCAATCATTGGTGTACTTATGTTGCGCCTTTTCGTATGCCCTCGCCCTCTTCACCGCAACTGTCGGTTTCATTGACGGTGCAGTGACACGCTCCGGCGGTGGCGGAGTGGGGGGCTTAGGAGGAGGCGGTGCAAATGGCAGGTGTGATTGCTCATAGCGGCGCCTCTTCTTCGACGTCACGGCGGCCGATGTAGTCGTGGCGGGAGGAGTAGCAGCACGGGTTGACGTGGCGGGAGGAGTAGCAGCACGGGTTGACGTGGCGGGAGGAGTAGCAGCAAGGGGTGATGTGGCTGGAGGAGTAGCGGCAGGCGTTGATGTGGCGGGACGAGTGGCAATTGGGGTTGTCGTGGCGGGACGAGTGGCAGGCTGGGCCTTGGATGGCGAGTCAACCAGCTCAGTCACCTCGTCCTGTTTGTGCTCCCACTCTTCACTGCTGAGAGATGGGAGGGGGTTCGAGAACACAGGAGCGGCATGTGCACGACGAAGGAAATCGAGGCCTCTGAGGGGAGCGACCCTAACAAAACGCTCAGCGCTGTGGTCGTCCTCCCCCCATCATCCTCGTCATCAGAATTACACATCACGGGCTCTGGTGGGAAAGTGGCTGCAAACAGGACTACCTCAGGGAAGATTGATACGCTCTGGCAGTTGTGAGAGGGGTACTCTCTCTTGCGTGGAACAAGAGAGAGTTGGAGGGGAACTCGGTTTCCTGCAGCAAGCAGCGGAATGGATGGAACGAAGGGAGGGACAAGCTGGTCTTGAGGTGATCGACAATGCACTACGAGCTGTATGGTGCATGCGTGAGTAGCATCATTGCTACCCGCAGCCTAGCGTGCTGTCGATGTGCTGGCTGCTGTACCAAGCCAGGAAATGCCTAAGGCATGCAGCAATCATCCAGCGGTGGCAACTTCAGCTGCCGCACGCGGTTGTGCTGCTGATGCTACGCGAGAAAATGCCCAAGTGTCAGGAAATTTGGGCACTGAGGAATCTTCCAGCGGCAGGAAGTTTGGAAACAAATGGCGAACAGTCAGTGGGCGGCTCGCGTGAAACCACCCAGGAATCCAGGCCACGCGTATGTGTGTCTATAGGGAGTACAGGGAATACCCGGGGGTATGCCCCCTATATGAATACCCACAGGGTGGTACATACACCAACTCTGATAAATCAGAGAAAAGAGAACTTTAAAAAAAATTACCCAGGACCATCAGAGTGACTTCCAAAAACGACTCTGATTTTCAGAGAAACAGAGTGATTTACTCTGATAAAATCAGCCCTGGTCAGTGAAGACTTTGAGGTGCCCTAACGACTCATTAATGACGGTGTGTGTGGCGCGCAGGTTTGTCCGAGGACGTGTCAGTGACGCTGGAGGGAGAGTGTGTTTTATTCACAGGAAGCACAAGGTGCAGAAGCGGGGGGACAGCGAGGGGGAGGACTCCCTGGAGAGGACGGAAGGCGAAGGAGGGGAGAGGACGGGCGGCGAGGGAGGGGAGAAGGATGCCTGGAAAGTCTCCAAGTTCTTCCAGGTACCTTGATTGACGCCCTTGCTTGGCTGCTTTTTCACACCCACTGCTGCGCGCTCGCAAATTGCTGGTCACTGTAGTAGGGCTGTTGGTAGCCACCTGTGCTTCCAAGGGCGTTGCCCCAGAGACCATCATGTAAAGCAAGCGACCCTGATCGCCTATAATTTGATTGCTGTATGGCCGTTGGCTTGCAGGTGACGGTGGTGGTGCCAGAGAACACTTTGAAGGAAGCGATCAGCGCAGCCATGAGCAACGGCATGCTCACTCTCACTCTGCCCAAGCTCAACGCTCCAGAGGAGCCTCCGTCCTCCCCTGTTGACATTCCTGTCGCTTGACGCACGGGAGGAGCGGGGAGGGAATCGCCATCGCCACGGCATCCCATGGGCCTTCAGGATGGCGCTCTAGCTCATGGCTGAGCATGCATTGAGCATGCTTGTAGTGGAGATTGAATGCTGATGACTTGTGTTGTGTGGCTGTTAGTTCCAGGGTTGGATGTGGTAGGAAATTCTACCTTGCATTTAAAGAAAGTGGACTCCCAAGCTGAAGAGGAACAAGCCCAGTGGGAACCAAAACGAACACTGAGATGCAAGGAGAAAAGCACAAGCAAGCAGCGGAATGGGAGAAGAGAAGAAGCACCTTTTGAAAGAGACAGCCTCAAAACAGAAGGCCAGAGAGAGCAAGAGCAGCACGCGGCTGCCATGGGCAGGAGCAGCCAAGCGCCCGCCTTCTCAGGTTGCAGGTGAAAGCGAAACTCGCGGGTCCGCTTTGCTGCAGCCAGCCCTCCCAGCACTTGCGGACCATGTGGTCGGCTGCTTGCTTGGTGCACCTCAACACACGAAGCAGTGCGTGCCAAGCTGCGTCTCAAGTCTCAGGTCTCAGTGAAAGCGCAGCTGAGCCCGTCTGTCTGCTGCAGCCAGTGCCAGTAGTTGCAGAGCGTACAGCGGGCTGCTCCATGCGTCTCAGAGCGAGTGCGGTAGCTGTGGGCGCCAAACAAGCCTTGGGTCGCATCCGAGCACATCTGTCCGCTGCAGCCACTTCCAGTACTACTTGACTATGCGGCCCTGTGGCTTCCAGGCACCTCATACCATGTACCGGTAAGAAAAGGCAACATTTCGAAGCTTTCTCACTCGTGGGTTGTGTCGAACGAGCTTTTAAGGAAGTTTGGGAGAGTTGACAGAAGGTGCAGCCGCTGCTCTTGCTGCTGCTGCTGCTGCTGCTGCTGCTGGCGCAGGCATGGAAGGGGCAGCGGAGGGGGCAATGCTGGGTGCAGAGGTGCTACCAGAGGCTGCAGTAGCTGCAGCAGGCCCAGGCTTGTGCTGCTGCTGGTTTTGCTGCTGAAAGCACCTGAGGTTTCACCTGAGATTGGACCTCGGGTTGTCCTTTTGGCTTAGTCACTGCTGGCAATGGTGCGGGCGGCGTAGCTTGTCTCACGCTGGGAGCTACAGCAGCCACAGCAGCAGCTGTGGAAGCAGCAGCAGCAGCAGCATGACCGACACCACCATCAGCACCAGCAGCATTAGCTGTTGCAGCTGTACCTGGCGGCCTTGAGTGTGGCAATACTGACTTGGAAACTGCCACGTCTCCTGCCACCATATGAACTCCCGATGATGCAGGCGCTGCTCCCTTGCTTGCACCCCCTTGCCCCACGCCCGTTGCACTGCCCGCACTTCCCCCCTGGCCTGCACTACCTTGTGTGGCTGCATGACCCTGTGAGGCGCCTGCTTGTGTGCCTGCTGGTGTGCCTCCTTGTGGCCCTGCTGCTGCCAGCCCTGATGCAACACTTTGCCCTGCAGTTCTGCTTCCAGCCAATGAGCTCTGGACACCTGGCATGGACGAACCTGCCCCTCTCCCCACTCCCCCCACC